CCCCCCGGCGGCTCCGGGCGGGGCCCCCGGGCCCCCCCCGCTGCTCCCCCTGCCCTTTCTCCGGCCTCCCCTGAGCGCTCCCCCGTTTCCCTGCGGCCTCCCCGCGCAAGAGGCGCCTTGGGGTGTCTCCAGGCACGGTCACTTGAGCGACCTTCGGATCCCGACGCAGGGCCTTAAGGGGATAGACGATCTCCAGCGAAAAGCTCGTGCCTTCCCTTTGTAGCTCTGTGCACGAGGGGTGCGTGGCCCCTCCATTGCCCGCAGAGCTGCCCCCCGCCTCTGACTAACTCTGGGTGCACCCAGTTGTTGTAATCTCTCCTTTAGTTTGTTTAAGAAAAGGAGAAAAAAAAAGTGATGTTTTTTGTTTCCAAAGAATTTGATAGGCACTTTTTTTTTTAAGAGCGTTAGCCTAGAAAAAACTTCCTCTTGCTGTACCTTCTCATCTAAAATGGCACCCTTCCAAGTCACTGCTTTCCAGGGGAAACGGCCTCTTTTTGAGATTTAATGAAACATTTCAGTGAGGAAGACAAATTGTCATTACTCCCCTAGCAAGTTGCTGCCAGGGCCTGACATTGATTTCAGACACAGGAGAGGAATGAGTGTGTGTTCCTTCATGCTGAGCATCTGCAGCAGCTTCACCAGTGCCCTCCATTTGGAATTTACTTCCAGGGCCTGTTCTGACAGCAAAGAGGGGAAATTCATGATGGGCAGAGGGAAAGGCAGGGGAGAGCCACCTAATAGCATAGGGAGGAAGGGGTCAGGGACTAAGGGAAAGCCACACACTTAAAACAACAGCATAAGGTCCCATCTAAAAAATTTGCTAAGGATTTGGACCCGCGGGTACTGCTGCAGCTGCACATGTTGTGCCTGTTGCTGCTGAGCAAGATGGAGAGAGCTCCGTTGTTGAGAGAATTGTGTTGAAGCGTGTGCCGTTGCCTAGAGAAAGAGCCAAGGGTTCCGTTTTGTGGGATTTCGTCCGTGTTGATCCTTGGTATGGCATCACCAGCATACGCTTAAGGAGAAGAGAGGAGGAGAAGAAGAAAAAAAAGCCACAACAAGCTGGGTACTCACCAGAGACCGTCGCCTCTTCAGTGACATCTGCAAGTCGTCCCTTTTGCACATTGGACCGAGGCTTTTCAGCAATTTTCAGCAATTCCTACAGGCTGCAGCACTGTGTGATCAGTTGTCGCCTAGAACATCTTTTTCTGCAAAGGTGCTTGTGTGTTGGAGAAATCAGAATGCAGAAAAACACATTTAGCAACTGATGTGTGGACCCCATCACAGACTGCGTGACCACGATGACCTGCGGGGTGTCTTCTGTGATACACTGAGCTCCTCAGAGCGCTGCAGCAGGAGTTCCCTTTTAGAAAACAAGGAGGTTTTAGACTTTGCTAAAAAAAATCTACAGCAGCAAGTGTCCTATAAGAACCCAGTTTCCAAATTGGTGTGGCTTTTCCCTAATTCCCTCACCCTGGCTTTGTAGCTGTTGATAATTATGAACCCCCTGGCGCTGTTGTGAGTGCCATGTTTTACGTTTGTTTTAGGTTTAGTGGTTTGGGGCTTCCTCTGAGCACGAGAGGACCAGGAACATCCTAGCAGTATCTTAAGGGACTTGCTGTCATTTTGCTTTTTCTGCTAAAACCCATCAAATCCTTCAGGCATCCCAGGATGCAAAGCATTTTCCACAGGATCTCTTGGAGCAGCAAAGAGCCACTCAGCAGACATCTTCCTTTCATGTGTTAGAGCAACTTCAGCAGAAGGTGGAGCACAACTTGTGTGTGCAGCCTTTCCTGGGAGGGTGGTCGGGGCTGTTCTCAACTCATTCCACAGGTCCCCAGCGTGTGACATCCTTAAGCCGCTTGTTCATGGGTCTTGCTGAAACACTGCTGTCCTCACGTTGCCTCCTCCTGACTTTGCAAGCTGTGTGGAAAGCCTTAAATCAAAGGTGCTTTTATAGCTCTTGATCTGAGGGATGATTTTAGTGTTGAAACCAATTCTCTGCTGAGTTGCTGGGGAAGAAGGCCAGGTCACTCCAGCTCCTCTTCCTCGCTGGCCACCTTGCTCTTCATGGCTCCTGAGTGACATCTTGTCCCCTGTCCCTGCTCAGTTTCTGAACGTGCACCAAGTCTGCAATTAGATACTCTTGAGAATTTATTAAAGCAAATGTAGAGAGTATTGATTGCTCTACTCTGAGCTTTGGACTTTGCTACAAAGGATGAGATCGCTTGTAGTAGGGAGGAGGTTTTAAGCAGGAGATTGTTCTGTGCTTCAGATCACTTAAAGAGCCAAGTGTGTGTGGTTCATATATGCATCTTATGCACTGTTTCTTACAGAAATTTTTAACATCTAGTGCACGTTGCTCTTCCAGCTCTAGGGGCTGTAACAAATGGGATTTGATCATGCAGTTCTTAGGGCTCTTCCTTCTTGTCTTCGGACACCTCTACTGCCCTTATGAACAAGGTTGCTAAGCATATTTGCTGCTTTATAAAGAATTAAAAGCACACAAAAGTAGGCCAGGAACAGGGACTGCCAAAAGTGAAGTGGTTTGTCCTTTATGTCCAAAAAAATTCCCGTGGATAAATCTGTAGTTAATAAGCACAGTGCTATAAGGACTGAAAAATCTTCCCTTCGTGCAGTTGTTGGAGTGAAAAAAAGAAAATTGTGCCCCTCTTTTCTTCTCTGTAAGTTCAGTACAGAACAATTGCTTGTCACCAAGCTGGAAATTTAAAATGAATTCGTAATGGTAAGCACAGTTCAATCCTAATAGGAAAACTTTGCTACATTTCTGGAAGGAGGGGGAAAAAAAAAAAAAAAAAAAGGGCATTAAAATTCTTACCAGCTTCTGGGAGACTTGCTGAGTGCACCAGAGTTACTCATTTTTATTTGGGTTTTCAAGGGCTAGTTAAGGTGATTTTTGTTTGGTACTCAGATTGCCAAGTCAACTGACCTCAGTTAAAAGAAAAAGTAAGTTTTGAGTTAACTTTTTCTATTTAAGAAAGGACTTTTCTGCAATGTATAGCCCTGAGCTTTTGTTTTGTTTTAGTTCCCTTTCTTCCTGTTTCTTAAACAAGCTCCATTCAGATTCAAATTCTGAACAGCATTCGGAGTGTATTTAGGAATATGGAAAGCAACAAGCAAAATGGGTTAAATTTAAGCAGCTGACCTGCTCGGGCATTGTAAACACCTACAGCTATAGGGGCATTTTTTTTCTCTTCATGGTGGATATAGTAACCCTACATTATACAGTTGCCTCTCCCTCTTCTTAAGGAAAAGAAACGCCACCTTCTAGACCATGAATTTCTTCTGATTTGTATTTCAGTACCTCTGCTCAGCAAAGCAATGGTCCTTAATTACCATCTGTTTAAGTGTTGGCTTGTGCAAACTGGAAAAAAAAATGTGCTTGAAATTACATTTAATTAACACCGATATTGGTAACACACTTGGCAAAATGTTTCTTGTCAGGCGTCCATGCAAAAGAGCACCAGTCATTTTTAGAAGCCGCGTAGGAATTTGTATGGCACAAAGTTTGTTTTTTGGGATGCTAAAGGTCAGAAGGGAGTGATCACTGCAGTGCTGGAGAAGCCTTGCGCTTAATCCCCTTTGTCAAGCAGTCGAAACCAATAACTAATACAAGAAACCAACTTTTCCTCTCTTTATTTTAGATTTGGGAAAATTCCCTGCCAAAAAAATATCCTGGAAAATTCACTAGTGTTTGTGTGAGTAAAAGGTCCAACCTTCTATTATTAATTTATAAGAAATTAATTTCATTCAGTTTTGTCCAAAAGAGTAAGAAATTATTTAGCGCAGAAATGTGTAGCATTTAGTGATAGGGATCAGAATCACTTTATTATTTTTTAAATCTGGTCTGGTTGCAGGTTTTATAGCATTTATTGTCTTTTAAAAGAAGTAAAATGTCATGACTTCCTATCAAAAAAAAAAAACAAAAAAAAACTGTTTGTGGCTAAATGGAACCAATTTCAGCTTCTGTTTATCAAAAAAATCATTTGCTGTTAAGAATTGGACCAAAACTGTCCTTTCCAACCCTTGATATTACAGCAATGGATAATGGTGGATATCTGGATTAGGGAACAGCATGTGATGGCAAACTTAGTATTTGTTCTCCTGTAAAATTCCATATGTATATTCAAAAACCCAATAATTGGACAAAATAATCAAAGAATTCCAAAATCTTGGTATCATGCAGCCACGCCATGTCCAAAGCGAGCGTTTCCCTGCCTCTCCGAGCTTGCTGTATCCTTGATCTCCCGTGTCCCTGCTCCTAACTGATTGCAACTCTACGTGCCTGATCCGGGCTACAAGTGGTGGTCTTGATTACATGGATATCATGCAACACATACTGTGCAAGCTTGTGTGTATAGATACGTGGATACTGTATGCATGTACATTCAGCATGCATATTTGTGTGCTGGCCCCCAAATCACTCTCAAAGCCTCAGATATTCATCAAAATATCAAGTAGCCCTTCCGTTTTTGCCAGTTCCCTCAAAATGAGACACTTTTTCTGCACTGTCTCTGGCCAATAGCCAAAATGTGTGATTTTTGTTACCACTCTTGCTGATTTTATTATGACTCACTGTTGGTGTGTGTATAAGCACATATGTGTATATGTATATGCATATTTGTGTATTTATACACACAAGTATGTTTTTGCTATACAGGTAATAAAGATGGGGGAAGGTTTTTGTGTTTTCTTAATAGGTGAAGAAATCTTGAAGACCAGAAATTGGAACTTACTGAATTTTAAATTAAAACAAAAATATATGTTTATATAAATTGTCCGGCTGTGGAAGATGGATCTTCATTTTTGCAGCCACTTTGAGTCACAAGTTCATCTTTAAATGAACTGGGTTTTTTTTTTTCATTATTTTTAATTTTTATTTTTTGAAGAGCTAACTAACCCTGGCTGTCTCCAGTCTCTCAGAGTATTCAAATGGACTTGCTTCCTCCATTAGTTGTAAGATGTTTAAAAGCACATCCTAAGTTTGAATTGTGGATGAGAGGTTCCCTTGGCAATGTGAGGAGGAAAATTCTTTCTACCCCTTTATTATTAATTCACGGATTCAGTGTTGGTTCGGCCTACAGGAGAAGTTAACTGGAAGTCTTGGAAGATCAGTACCTTTGCTGAGATTGTCCAGGTATGTGAACTTGAACATCTAGGGCTATTGGAAAATAATATTTCAGGTGTCAAACTGCATTTTGTTGAAATCGTTTAATACCCATAGTTAATCACTGACTGATAGCTCTACTGTAGGGTCATTTGTTGGAACTCAAGTGCTGTGATTAGAGCTACATGCAGCATTTCTGTGTTCTTTTTCCTATGCTCTGCTGCAAATAAATATTGCTAAGGGTGTAGAAGAGAAGCCTTTATGACAAATTCATGCAATTTTACAGAAATTTGTTTTAATACGGGGATATTTTTGAAGCCAGCTGATTTTGAGGTGTTGCACCCCTCTTGAGACTAATTCGCTTAGCAGACAAAAGCTGGAAAATGCTTCCAACTTTGTAATCAGATTTTTTATTCCAGTTGTCAATGTTTTTTTCAGGGTTACTTTTAAAAGAAGATTTCACTGATCAAGCCTGTAGAAGACTTTCAGCCCAAGAAAGAGTGAAAGCAGCACTTGTCAAGAGTGCAGGAGGTCCCTGTGAAGAGACGACGCTTGTAGCCCAGCTTTATTTGGGAATTCGGTCGACATGGCTAACCAGGGAGATGATTGCTATTTCTATTTCTATTCCACGTGTAACAAGGTATGACTGGCTGTTTTTTAATTAATGATTTTTAGTAACTTCATTTTTAGGTAATTTAATCCAGATTCTAATGAGCATTTTCAGGCTGTACTGTTTGCTTTTATTGTTCTTTTCCTCTTGGTTACAGGGAGACAGTTGCCCCTTCCGCCACTGCGAAGCTGCTCTGGGGAATGAAACAGTCTGCACACTCTGGCAGGAGGGTCGGTGTTTCAGGAATATCTGCAGGTTCAGACATATGGAAATTGATGTGAGTGTCTGCCTTACAGTGTACTTTCAAAATAAATCAGTAAAGCATTTTTTCCTGTTCTAAGTGCAGGATAGATGCGTTTGCTTTAAAGTAAAACAGGTCTGCAGCACCACAGGTGATGTGGAATGAAATCGGGGGGTAATAATATTTTAGATGCAAAATTTTCACCCTGGAATGTATGAAATACTGAGGTTTTGTTTCCTTCTGTCTTTAGAAAAAGCGCAGCGAGATTCCTTGCTATTGGGAGAATCAGCCAGTGGGCTGTCAGAAATCCAACTGTGCTTTTCATCACACCAAGGGACGTTACGTGGATGGCCTCTTCTTACCACCAAGCAAAAGTGAGTAGTTTTAGGAGATTTTGTGTGTAAAGTAAAACCATTTTTCATAGTATAACCAGTGACAGAGTAGGGAAAAGGAGAGGGTAGATTCAATTGCCAGATAGGTAAATGTCTTTTCTTACCTGCCATTTTTATTCAGTGAGTGCAACATTGGGGTCAAAGTTTTAAATGACCAAACTGCAGATGATCCTGTTCTTCCTCTAGCTACACTGCCAGGTCCACCTGAGTCTGCGGAAGATGATGTGAAAGCAGCTCAGCTGTCTCTGCAGCAGAATAAACTTTCTGTCCAGTCAAATCCCTCTCCGCAGCTGAGGGGAGTAATGAAAGTGGAGAACTCTGAAAATGTCCCAAGTCCTACACATCCTCCAGTTGTAATCAATGCTGCAGATGATGATGAAGATGATGATGGTGAGCATACTTTAGGTTTTTGAGGCTTTTGTGCCATAAATGAACACGTAAATTGTGGAGTATCTGAAAACTAGCTGATTTTCCTGCAAGAACCACTAGATGGTTGGCAGTCTGTGTCCAGAACCCCCTGTCCTGGAGGAAAGCTTAGAAACAATCTTGTTTCAGCTGGTGTTGTTGAAAATCCCCTCCCTGATTTTCTCAAAAATTGCGTCCAGCCTATAATAAAAATAGTCATTATCATTATTTTAATCTAAAACTGCTTCTGTTCCAGTTAAGAATATGGATAGAATATGGAGCATGGACTGAAACGTCCATGTGCAAGTTACACGTGTAGACAGGCTGATATTCTTGTCTAATTCTTCCTACTTAATTGAATAGGTTTATTTTTCCCCTGCAGATCAACTTTCTGAAGAAGGAGATGAAACGAAAACACCTGTCCAGCAACCAGCCTCAGAAACTCCTAACGGATTGCGGATAATTTCCACTAGGAAATCTAATGCTACTACAAAACAAGGTATTCTAACACCTGCAGTAGGATGAATCCCACTTGTCTTCCAAGTGTATTTTTGAAGACAACTGGAATATTGTGTAGGCGTGCTATTGGAGCTTTACTTCTCTGAGAAAACACCAAGGAAACCTTTATTGTAGGGGAAAAACTTTGTGTTTATGTAGGTAACATCTTATGACAGATAAAGGAGAGCTTGACAATTAACTCAAAAGCAATACATTGTAAGTATATAAGAGTATATGGTAGAGGTGAATGCACTTATTTGTTTCCATGATCTCGTTCCTACCTGGTTCCTTATTTGTCCCTTGACTTAGGTTTGTGCTCCAAAATGGGAGCACAGAGTGGACTTTTAATGCCTGCAAATGTCTTCGGGGGATGAGGCACATGGGTTGATTCTAAGTGCTCTGGAAAATTGCTGAGTGCTAAGAAGTGTGAGGATCTGTGCTTCTCATCATATCCCTTTAAGCCTCTGTTCCATTAATTATTTTGTGTTTTCAGATGAGAAGTTGAATTTTGGGATAAAAACACTTGAAGAAATTAAATTGAAGAAACTGAAGGAAAGATCAAAAAAGCAAGGTGGTGAGTTGATATCCTCCCTTTCTCACTAACTTCTCTGCTGCTTTATATATATATATGTGTGTGTGTGTGTATACATATATATATACATATATCTACATATATGTATATATATATATATGAGTATCTGGCTCTGCATTGGTGATATAATTATTTGCAAAAGAAGGAAATTTTTGTTTTGCGCTAATGGGTAGAGACCCACAGTAGATTTTGACTTGAAGTTGCTTGGGGAACAAACTTACCTGTTCTTTCCACTGGAGCTCTCAAGCTCCACGAGCATAAAAGCTACTTTCTTGAAATTGAAATTTCAGTTGCAGATCAGAGGCAGATTGCTCAAGCTCTTATTTCCATGCACTGGTCATTTGGTGTTGGGCAGCAATAAATACTTAATAACTTTCGGTCTTTGTGATAGTTCTTTGGTGTTTTTCTTTCATCCCCTGCTAAACATTCTCATCTTTTTGCTTGCTCTGATCAGAAGGTCCTTCAGGAGTTCCTATTCATCCACTGCAATCTCAGACTATTCCTGTGCCAGAAAAGGAAAATGTTCGGACAGTGGTCAGGACTGTGACACTATCTACAAAGCAAGGTAATAAGGAATGCCACAGTTGCCATTTCAGAGCTTCCTAAAGCTAAAGGTTAGGTCTGATTCAGGCATCTTAGTCTGCTGGTACTACTTTTTTCTATTAAAAACTTTGCAGGATTAATAGTTTGTCCTGTTGCAATAGGAGATCAAAAAGTGGGTTTTGTCAGTGTGACATAAAGCCATAGCTGGTCATATATCACCATCCTACAGACTCCTGACCTGTGTGTCCCTGACTTCACTGCTCCTGAAGCCCAGTGGGACCAGTGCACGAGCTCTTGTACTGACAGCCTGGGTCACAATTAGTATTTAAATGAAATGCAGCAGAGAAAAAGAGGGTAAAGGCAAACCAAATGTCAGCATGCAAATAAGGGGGAGAGCTGAAAAGCAGCTGAGATGAATGGAAAGAGCTATAGGAGATAGTGTTATACACACAAGAAACCAATTTTTGAAGCAGTAAAGAGGACAGCAGTGGCATTTGTGAACAGAACTGTGATAAGAGTTTGCACATGGTATTTATCTTGCTTATTACATGGTGTGTAACCTTCCGTCCTGCCTGAAGCGTAGCTTTCATGCGTGCTCTGGTTCTTAGTCACCAGCTTCGCAGGAAGTTGAATCAAGGACTCAGAACTATTAGTGTTTTTCTAAGTGATTTTTACAGGTGAAATATTAGTTTGTATAGTTTGACTCTCAAAATATGGCAATCTTGTAATATTTGGGGGAGAGGGGTTCAGAATAAGTGTATAAATGGAGGTTTGCAGGTAACATTTTTGCTGGCTGCTGTTTTGTGTGAACTAAAGTCCAAACTTTGCCGTTTTAGGGGAGGAGCCTGTAATTCGATTGAACCTTGGAGAGAGAGTGGGAAAACGGAAAAGCACCCTTGGTAAGAGCTTTTTGTGAGCTGTTGCTTGGATGCTTTCATCTAGATTCGAGGGTGTTTCTGAGATGAGAGAGAAGAAAATACATTCTGGCAGAATTTGGTTGTAGAAATGGCAATTGCATTAGCAACTGGAGGACAGATACAAGAAAATATATCTGGAAAAAAAATGAAGTTTCTTCTTGACTGTTCTAAGATCTTCCTTTGGAGAAACCTTCTTTAAGTGTTTCCTGTTTTCTCTCTGCCTGAAGCTGATGAAGGTGGCCTTCCACTGAAGCGCAGCCTCGCTGAAAGGCTAGGAAAGAAGATAGAGAGTCTGGAAAATGCTGAAAAGGCACCAAAGAGAGGTACAGCTATTAAACAGATACCCGATTTTGATACACAAATCCTCAGTTTAGGCTTACCATTTGTGCTTTCCTCTTCTGGTTCTCTCTGTGTTTTCTCTGAGGCCTCAGGGTTGCTTTGAATCCCAGTGCAGCAATCTGCTGTCTGCTTTTGAAATGTAAGCACAAAGCTGAGGTTTATGCAGCCTGCCTGATTTTGTCTGTTCTCCCTTGCAGTTCAAGTCCCCAGGTCTCTGAAGGAGAGGCTGGGTTTGCCTTCTGAACAGACCAGTACAGAGACAGGTAATAACTGGATGCTAAATCTGCCTTTCCTTTCCATGAACCTCTACTACTTCCACACAGACCTCCAAGTTAGTTTTAAAAAAGGCCTTATGCCCTTTGCTTGAATGTTAGAACTCTCCTGATGGCTCCTGTCAGAGGTCTGGTTCCTGATGAGTGTTTCCTTTTCACTTGTGCCTCATCGAGATTTCACGTTCCTGCTTTGGGCCATGAGCAGATGAAGGCCCAAGTGGGACAGAATCACTACCAAGTGCCAACCTTAGAGATACTGAGGGAGAGACACAGTTTAGATAGTCTTGACATAGTCAAGGTCATTAACTTCCCTTAGTACTGTGACAAACTCTGGGGACCTGGTTTTTGCTGAACTCCTTTTCTTGTGGCTTTTTTTTTTGATGGTGATGACAGAGAAAGCTGCCAAGCCAGCAGGAGAGATCCATGTGAAAACTCTGGAAGAAATCCGTCTCGAGAGAGCTATTCAGAGACGAGGAGAACCTCAAGCTAAGCCTCAGGCTGAAGGGCCCTGTGGAACCGAAGATCCCAGCCCAGGGGCAAGACCTTCTGCTGCAGTTCGCATCAAAACCTTCTCAGAAGCCCTAGCTGAAAAAAAACACAAGCGATTGGAAGAACAGAAGCAAAAAGCAGAACAGAAGCAAAAAGCAGAACAAAAGCAAAAAGCAGAAGATTCACCTGTGAAGGCAAAGGCTGAGAATGATGCCAAGAAGCAGAGCGTGCAAACTCCGTCCATGCCTGGCAAAGTACAGCCAGAAGAGCCAACAGGTAAAGCCAAGCCAGGAGGAGAGGTGCGTATTAAAACCTTGGAAGAAATCAAGCAGGAGAAAGCTCTGCGGATGCAACAGAGTGCAGAAAATGTTCCAGCTCCACCAGCCCAACCCGAACCTGCACCGGCAGGGAGGAGGTTGTTACGGATCACAAAGCTAATAGGTAATAAAATGTGCTGTGCATGAACGTGTGCTGCAGCCTTCCCTTTGATTTCGCTGTTAGACATGAGGAAACTTAACACTCCAGGGAAAGAAAAATAACCAGGTTTGTTTATTTCTCCTTTTGAAAATGATTTTTCTTTGTTTTTCAAGCACCTGGAAGAAGAGGAGATAAGAAGGTAGTGGAAGTGAATAGGCCTCCTCCCAAAGCTGTTCCTGCACCTCCAGAGGTGAGTCTTGAGCAAATACATATCTGTGTGTGTGTATATGTACATGTGTATATATTCATAGAACAGCTGGTAAGTTCTGTCCTGTCTTGTCGATCTGTAACTGGCTGTGTATTCCCAGCTCTTGTCTTTCCCTGCTTGGGAGAAGGGCTGAATTTAAGTCTAAATCCCATCACTTCCAATAGTTAGGGCAACATTGTGCCCTCAAACTTCTCATTCATTAAACCTGACAATGAAAAGGAAATCCTGTTAGCACAAGATTTAATCTAATGGTTAATGGGGAGCGAATGTTTTTGCTCTTGGTGACTTACTCTGTCAGACTCAAAGGGGTTTTTAAGACCTTAGACAAGCATTTTAATAGGAAAAAAATAGAACTTTATATTAGAGGTAAGCAGTCTATCAGAGAGTGCTGTATTAGGAGTTTGCATGGCTGTTGCTTGACAAGAATGGAAGAGATTACAGCTGGAGGCTTTTGCTGTATTGAAGAAGCTTTTCATGCTGGGAATTGCAGGCATATGAAACAATATTTTCATAGCAAGAAAAAAAGTCAGTTATTTGAATTATGCTAATGTATCGTGTTCCACATGGAACCCTTTGCAGAGGGACAGCAAATCATATTTTCTTAACTAAATCTGTATAGATTTTTGTCTAATTGTTCCTCTTTTTTTCTAGTCCTCTGATCAGAGTGCAGCTAATTCTAAAGTTCAGGTGAAGAGCCTGGAAGAGATAATGAGGGAGAAGCGACAACTGAAACAGCAGCAAGAGGAGAAACTTCTGAAGGAAGCAGCTGCTGTGTCATCCACTGTGGAAAAAGCAGCTAAAACCCCAGCATGTGGGAGTCCTGAATCCACTGTGGTGTCAGGGCCAAACTGTCAGATTGCAAAGAGGTTATTGGTGAAATCCCAGGAAGATGGGGTTGACAGCCCAGGAAAGGATGCTGCTGTGTCCTCAGGGAAACAGGCATCTCAGCCTCTGGACCGGAAAGCTAAAAGTAAGTGTTTATTACAGGTTTTCCAAAGTTTTGCTGTGTGTGTGTGGAAAATGGCAGTGCAAGTCTACTGAGCAGGTATATTTTAATGATCTGAGGAAGGATTGCAGGAAGGATCTGGATATTTCTTGTGGCTCAGACGATGTCAGCTCTTTCTCTTTTGTTCTAGCCAAATCCAAGGTGAACGTGAAGCTGTCGGATGGGAAAGCCACCTCCCCTGTAAAACAGGCCCTGAAATGTAAGGCAGCTGAGAGCCATCCCTCCGCTGTTGCAGCTGTGAAACCACTGAGCAGCAGCGAGGAGGACACGATGGAACCACCAGCTAAGAAAGCAGCTCTGGTAAGGACGCTGTCTGCCACTAAATTGGTGTTTTTGTTTCACTCTTGTGGATAAAAGATAGAAAACAAGGGGGTTCTATAGGTCTTTTGGTCCCTCTTAAGTCCAGTAGTGGTCTAAAGATGATTGTTATGCCTTGCTAGTCTTTATTAGATAAATGATGGTGTTTTGTAATATTCTTCTATGATTTCTATGTGGACTTTCCATTAATGTTGTATTCTTAAACATGAGGTTGTTTGTGAGCTGGAAATAATATTAACTTTCCTCAACCTGGTACTGGATTTTGCTAAAGCTCAGCAATGCCAGAGGAGAAGCAGTGTGGAAGAAGCATCTACTAAGGAGTCATTTACTTGTGTGTCATAAATAAATATTGTCTCACTTCTTCACAGGATGTTGTTCCAGCCCTGCCAGAGGATAGTCTGGTCACCAAACCTGAAAGAGAAAAACCCAAAGACAGGTGACAACCAAAACTTGTTATTTTTCTTGGTCACTGTAGCTTTCACTTGCACTGTACATTCTTTTATATGTGGAAAAAAATCAGAGTTTTGAAATAATTGCCAAAATCAAAAGCAAAAAAATAAGGACTCTGCTAGGACAAATCATGAGTGAATTATCCAGCAGCAAGCAAGAATTGTTATTTAGATACTTCTCTGAAAATGCTGCAAGTTGACAGTGACTTCTTGGGTTATCTGAAGAGCTGAATGAAGATGGGGTGAAGCTGGAGGTGGGGTCAAAGACAAGTGGTGGATGAGGATCAAATTCTTGTATTTGGGAGCCAAGTCTGCAGAGCACGTCATAGAAAATAGCTAAAATAGTAAGCAGGTATTAGCAGAGATTGAGTAACGGTCAAATTAGTGGTCAAATTATTAAATGTAGCAAAATGTCTGTGGCTACAAAAATTGAACTATTTGCTGGATCTCCAGCTGCTCTGTTTTCACAGATACATTTTCAGTTCGGGGATTTATCTGCTAACATTAGCGTATGGGAATCTAGAGTAGCCCCATCTTAGTTGAATAATAATCCCTGTGCAAAGTGTAAAAGGGATTAACTGCATTTTTAAGAGCTGGTTGCCAGAAAGTGGATCTGCAGTTGAGGAATGTCCTGTGCTGATGGTTGTTGTTGTTCTCCCAAGCGCTGTGAGCCAGGCCGGTCCCGTGGCACAGTCGGAGGTGTCGAGCTCGACCTCGTCGCAAGCCATGGTGAAAACCCGCCGGTTGAGCTCCACAGGGGCTGGGAAAGCACCTCTATCCGTAGACGACGACTTTGAGAAGCTGATTTGGGAAATCTCAGGAGGCAAACTGGAAGCAGAAATTGATCTGGACCCAGGGAAGGACGAGGATGACCTCCTCCTTGAACTTTCTGAAATGATTGACAGCTGAACTTCATCTTCTTCTGTTTCCAGAAAAAAAAAAATGTATATTTTGTTGGATACCCCAAGATGATCTTTTTTCTAGCTGAGGCTTTGCAATGAGTCTTAAAGCACAGTTGGACTGGTAGAAATTGGCAATATCTGCACTCAGTTGTCCTAAATTTCCCTGCTGTTGAGAGTTGAATTCCTGCGCATCCGTTCTGTTACTGTTGGGGGCTGCCTTCAGTGTTGGGAGGACAAAGCACTTCGTTATTTCAGACCAGAAAGACGTTCATCTACAAGCTCTGAAGGTTGTGAATTAATCTACCAAGTCAGTGATGCTCTGAAGGCTTAAACTGAAAGCTTCATTCCCTGCCCTGCACCCCACCCCTTGGCAAGGCCATTTTGGGTGTACTTCATGGTTTTTGCATTCTTATTTCTTGGACTATTGATACTAAAGCCTGGAGTTACTATGTCAACTCTTGATTTTTATTTATGTATGTTACCATTTTGATTTGACTCTTCTAGGGCAAATGAATGAAAATGAAGGGATAGGAGGGAGCAGAATAATTCTAGCATTTTGGACCAAACATGCTGCCAAGGGTGGTGGTTGGAGTCAGTCCATCCAGCCTTATTTCTCTTCAATTATCAGGGATAATACAATATCAATGTGAAAAGCAGCAGCTATACAGTACAGCTAGAATCCCCTCTTCCTAGTTTATTGTACTCTATCAAAGCGTGGGGCTTTTGGTGCTTTTTGCTGATGTGAATAGGATTCAGGGGTGAGAAGTCATGATTCTCATAGGCTGCAGGAACTGAGGAATTGGTTTAAGTGCCTCTTGGTTCCAAGAATCACTCCCCCGAGCTGCTGGCTCTTCTGCTGCGAAGTGGCAGCTGCTCAGACCAACATTAACACGCTTTATTTCCGCTTTATTTGACCCGGTGCCCGCTGGGCCTCTGTGGGGCCCTGTGGTCACTTGTTGGCATTGACCCAACAGGCAGCCGGTGCCCAGGCACAACCTTGGGGCTGCCTAGTGCTGAGTTTTGTGCTCTCCTTCCTTTCGAGGCATCTCCTGGGCATCCGTTCACCTCCCCGTACGCCCAGCCCACCATGGAGGCCTGAGCTCCTTGCAGAGGGACAGCTTGGAGCCAGGACAGGAGGTTATTGGCCATCTGCACGTGCAGTTTGAAAGCGTGGCCCTGCAGAAAAGAGCTGAGACTGGGGTGTATTGAGTACCCTGCCACCAGTGAGAATTTTTCCCTAACAGATACATTTTTAAATTATTTTCTTAACTCTCTGAAGAGCTTTAGTCTCTTCCTATTATGATTCGTGAAGCTGAAGGGGCCCTCAGGCATTTGCTGCTGGCAGAGGAAAATGAGTTTAGCGCGTTGTAAATATTTCTCGCTCTGGAAGGACACACTCGTGTGCTTTGATAACCCACTGCGATGTCTTAGTTCCCAGAGGAAAGGGGTGAACCAAAGCTGGAAAAGCCCCTTCTGAAGAAACGGTGCGCCTGGTTCCAGCAGGGTCGCCACGTTGTCACCTTCCTCCACGCGGCGCAGGGCAGCGCCGACCCTCAGCCTGCTGAAGGACATTTTCCACCATGCGACTTCTGCACAGACGGGAGTGACTTTGGGAAGGAGAGAAGCACATGGAAAGACTGTGGCGTGGAAAACGTTCCCCCCCTCGTAAAATTTTCCTCTCCGTGTTCTGGTTTCAGCAGAATCTTCCGTTCTCGCGTCAGCCTTCCCCACCCTGGGGACGGCAGTCTGCGTCTGCCATTGTTCCTGTAAATATTTTACTCCTCCATTTTATATTTGTATTCAAGGGATTGTACGAGACGTAGCCCACCCCCCCGCCTCCCCCTTAGTTGAACTGTTGAAGCTGCAGGTGTTTTCCAATAAACCCGGCCTAGCAGAGTTGGACGCGGCGGCTCTGTCTGCTGGAGAGGGGAGGGAAA